GGAAGACACTTCTCCTTGCAGGGGATCTGATAGGCGCCCAGTCCTGCACCGTCCTCACAACTGTTGTTTGAGCCCATGGTTGCAGCCCCTGTGCGACTTGGTCACTGCCCTTCTACTTGACCGAGCATGGTGTCCTCTGCCGGGGACTGGTCTCTCCCTAGAACACGTCCAGAGTTCGTGAGGTGAAGTCACCTCTTGCAGGGTGTTTCTCTCCCTTGCTCAGTTAAGGCTAGCAGGGAGCCGTGCTTACCAAGCTAGCCAAAGATTGGTTAAAGAAGGGGAGATGTGGCAATGCAGACCGCCGTCTCAAGCCAAACAAGAGAAAAATTCACTGCCAAGGAGTCCATGCTGATTCACAGTGACCCTATAGGACAGGGCAGAACTGCCCCTGGGGGTCTCTGAAGCCCCCTTCATTCTCCCACGGAGCGGTTGGTTTCAAATTGCTGACCTTGCAGTCAGCAACCCAACACATAACCTACTACACCTGCGGTTTTCAACCTGTGGGTCCCGACCCCCTGGGGGTCGAACGACTCTTTCACAAAGGTCGCCTAAGACCATCAGAAAACATATTTCTGATGATCTTAGGAAATGAGACACCGCTCCTCTATCGGCCACCTGCAGATCCGCCCACATACAAGTACCCAGTATGAATACTGTTACCCATGCTACACCACGCTTCAAGAAAAAATTTCATTTACTTGTCATTAGAAATAAATATTTCACAAGATATATTTACATATTGTTTTTGTGATTAATCACTATGCTTTAATTATGATCAATTCATAACAATACACCCTGCATATCAGGTATTTGCATGGCGATTCATCACAGTAGCAAAATCACAGTGATGAAGTAACAACGAAAATCATTTTAGGGTTGGGGGTCACCACCACATGAGGAGCTGTCTTACCGGGTGGGTCTCTGTGTGAGGACGGTGGGGAGACCTGCTGGAGTACACCATCATGGCTCCTAAACAAAGGGGAAAGAGGGACTTTAAGGGCGACTAGGCGGGAAGGACATTGTTTATTCATGGAGGTGGAGAATCCATGGAATGGGGCTCTCATGGGTGGGATTAGGGTAAGTGGGTGTGCATGTGACAGGCATTCAAAAATGGAATCGGAAGTCAGTTGTCACTTATGGGATGTGGTGCATCCACCTGGAAGCTGGTTCCTCAGGTTCCACTCCTGTGTCCCTTGTTTGCTCTTGGGTTCAACTTGAGAGTCACCGGTGTCTGGTCTGCTTCGGCTCCGTGGCCAGTCTGAGCTGGTCAGATGGGTGAGGCTGCAGAGCAAAGGTAGGGGCTGAAACACAGTTCCTAACAGGGAGCCTGTAAAGCACATTATCATTGGGTGGGGAAGACACTTGGAACTGAGATTGGAAGATGGCATGAATTAGTGTTAACTGGGTATGGGGTGTGACTGAGCCCAGGCATGTTGTCTTGGGGAAATTCCTCAACGTCGCCTGAACTTGAAAAGGGGTGGAAGAATCCAGCCTCTTTTTTTCCCCAATCATTTTATTGGGGGCTCATACAACTCTTATCACAATCCATACATACATCAATTGTATAAAGCACATTTGTACATTCATTATGCTCATCATTCTCAAAACATTTGCTCTCCACGTAAGCCCCTGGCATCAGCTCCTCATTTTTCCCCCTCCCTTCCCCCTCCCCCCTCCCTCATGAACCCTTGGTAATTTATAAATTATTATTTGTCATATCTTACTTTGTCCCATGTCTCCCTTCACCCACTTTTCTGTTGTCTGTCCCCCAGGGAGGAGGTTAATCGGTTCCCCCTCACACTATAGCCACACACACCACTGGTCCTGAAGGGATCATCCACCCTGGATTCCCTGTGTTTCCAGTTCCTATCTGTAGCAGTGTACATCCTCTGGTCTAGCCAGATTTGTAAGGTAGAATTGGGATCATGATAGTGGGTAGGGAGGAGGCAGGGGGAGGAAGCATTTAGGAACTAGAGGAAAGTTGTATGTTTCATCGTTGCTACACTGCACCCTGACTGGCTCCTCTCCTCCCCGCCACCCTTCCGTAAGGGGATGTCCGGTTACCTACAGATGGACTTTGGGTCCCCACCCTGCACTCCCCCTCATTCGCAATGTCCAGCCTCTTTCTTCATCTGTTTTATCAACACCCTGGCTTACAAGGAGTCTTCTGGCTGTACTTCCTCCGAGCCGATGTGATGGCTGTTCGGGCAGTCAGGGGCACTTGTCAGTATTCTTCACCAGCACCCTCATTCAAGAATGCCCCCATTCATCTCCAGTTTTGCTTATTCATTGTCCGACTTCCACATGCAGATGAGATGACAGAAAATACCATGGCTTGGTCAGGGGCAACCTTGCTCTTCCACACTTCAAAGGGGCCCATGCAATGCATCATTTGATCTCTCGACAGCTGCTTCTCTGAGCACTGACGGCGAATCCAAGCAAGATGAAATCCATGACAGCTTCACCGTTTCTCAGCAATGCTGCCTGTTGGGAGGGGCCACTTTGAGGTTCACTTGGGGGGAGGGTTCTAAGACTACCTCTGGGGGCGGGGCCCTGAGTCTTGGGGTGGGACTACCCCTGGCCTCCCTGGTGGGCAGACTTCTGGGTGGCCCTTGTGCCCCCTAGTGCCATTCCTCCTCAACTGCGGCTGAGCAAGGGTGACCCCAAGGTGGGAGGGGTACAGGAAGACACTTCTCCTTGCAGGGGATCTGATAGGGTCCCACAGGCCCAGAGCCCGCCCTGCCCCCCCGACTCGAGAGACTCTGAATGGGCCACTTGAATCAGGTGTCTGCTCCCAAGCCAATCATGGTGGGAGAGGAATGGCGTGCTCTGACTGGCCATACTGGGTCACCTGGTCGTGCGGCCGCGCTGTGGCGGGTGTGTGGGAGGTCCTGAGGAGCTCTGCCGCCTCTGCGCGTGCAGCAGGGAAAGGAGGGCACCGTTACTAACGCTGGATTCGGTACCAGGGACCTGTCATCCCTTAGGACACACCTGTCTGAAGAGGTGGACGATTGAGGATGGCGGGTGTGATCCACGTGTGGGCTCTGGTCAAGCTGGGCCTGGACGACCCCGAATGGCCAGCAGAGGGCAACAGGGGGTCATGATGAGGTGACTGGGAAGGGGTGGTGTGCACGTGCTTGTGTGCATATGACCTAAGAGGTACCCCCACCGAAGAGTAAAGGGTCAACCATAGGAGTACCAGGCTCAGCTCAGGTTCACTGGCCCAGGGCTGGGAGCAGGCACCATTTGTCAGGGGCTGACTGGGGGACGGGGAACGATGACATCCCACCTGCAGCCAGGTGGTACATGAGTCCCCAAAACCAGCCTCCCGCCTGCCACCACCACTCAGAAATAAGGCTGGAGAGTGAACTACAAAAGAGTTTATTTCCTGCCAGACTTGTGGGCTTGGGGGCAGGAGACCCCTGGAGAGCTGATGTCTGAGTCAGAGCCTGCATGGGCCTGCCCTCTGTTCCTCTATATTGGCAACAAGGGCCTGGCCTTGGGCATTCAGGACAAAGCCTGCAGGGCTCACCCAACCTTCAACCCACCCTGGGAAGGAGGGGCCCAGGCCAAGAGGGGTCCTTCAGAAAGTCCCCTCGCTGAAGTCCTCCGAGGGGCACTGAGGTGGCTGGCCAAGGGCAGAGCCAGCTCAGGGAGGAAGGATTTATGGAGTGAGGGGTCTTCTCTAAACCCCTCCAAGCAGACACCCTGGGGCAGAAGCCCACCAGAAGCCAAGGCTGTCACCAGGGTCCCACCCCGGTGGGAGGTTACAGTTTGAAGCTCCTGGCCAGGGTCCCCTGGCATGCCCACCTGGACCCCCAGGCAGAGGTCTTCACAGGGCCGTCTCCTTGGAGACCCTGGACTCCAGCTGCTGGGGAGGCCTGAAGCTGAGCACCTCTTTATAGGTGACACCTAGGGAGAGAGGTGGGTGCCAGTCAGGAGAGGAGAGACCCCATCAGGAGCAGCTGTCACCTGGGCTACACCAGCCCAGCAGGATGTCATGTGGCCCCCACCCTGCTGTGAAGAGACCCACCGGAATGTGGGCTGAGCACCTGAGCAAGGACCTTGGAACACGCAACCCCCCGAAAGTCAGGGCCAGGGGTCCTGGCTGGAGAGAGAACTGTGGCATTGTCTGGCTGTTCTGTAGCTCAGGCCTGCTGGCCTGCCGGACAGGCCCTGGCTGCAGGGCAGCTGGCTCAAGAAATGTAGGGAGACAGCCGTGTCTTGGCTCTAGACCCACAGGGCCCATCTGAGCCCCAGGCGAGGCACCAGGAAGCTGTAGCCCAGACTCATTGCATGGACTACCCGCAGCCCCCACCTCTGCTTCCTAAACTCTGTGCCCCACACCAGCTGACCCAATGGGAGCTATTCGTCTCCCCTCAGTTGACCCACTCACCCGGCCAGGGCAACGCCTGTTTGGAAGCATGGTCTCACACCTGTGGCTTTGCCCTGGGCACCCGTGGGTGGCTGCGTGGGCAGGCTTACCTAACCCTCACCCGGACCTATGCAGGCAGGCAAGCTGTGCACCAGGAGACACTATTTCTCCCAGGAAACAGAAGTGGGGGGCCGAGGGGTGTAATGAGGCTTGTGCTCCAGAGCAGGGCTCAGCCATAGACCTCTCTGTGAAAGCCAGGCCACAGAGAGGATCCTGTGGTCGGTGGTTTCAATGTAACCCTGGGGCAGGAAACCCACTGAGGGCTAGGAGGCATGTGCAGGGCGTGGGGGGGTCCAAGTGGGAGGGTCCTGAGTTGGGAGGACATGGGGGAGGGGCGTGACCGAGCATCCCAGCCTCCCTGGGCTCAGAGTCCCAGAACTCTTCGTGCTGGGCCTGGGGCCAGGCCTTTGTTTGTGCAAGCTCCCAGCCAGAGGTCACCTCCCCAGGAGGCCCGGGCCCAGCTGCCCGCCCGCACCCCGCCTGCTCACGCTTCCACTCGTCCAGCGTGCGGTCCATGTCGTCAAAGGAGTCGTCGTACTTCTGTACGGCTGTCTCGTCCTCCGTGTCATGCAGGGCCTCAAAGTAGGGGTGTGCCAGCGCTGCTGCCGCAGTCACCCGCTGCTCGGCATCCAGCACCAGCATCTTCTCCAGCAGGCTCACAGCTGGCGGGGGTAGGGCTCAGGCCATTCAGCCCGTGCTCCCCCCGCCCCACTGCCCCCCACCCCGTACCCCTCGCCCCATACGTCCTACCCAGGGGGCTGGCGTTGGTCAGGACTGAGGCAAAATCCTTCTTCTCCAATTCCGGAAGGCCTTTCATGTAGTTCTTGGCCTGGGGGAAGAGGAGGGAGGTGTGTGCGTGCGGCTGGTCCCAGCCCTGGCCCTGTCACCGAGCTGCCTCCACTCACATCTGCGCTCTGCAGCCGCTGCACAAACTCGGCTGGGGGCGTCCCCGTGACCTTCATGATCTCCTTGAGCTGGTCCAGGTCTGCCTCAAGGTCAGGAGCACAGCACAGGGCCACAGGATGGGTGCCCCACGCACCCCAATGGCTCCCAGACCCTCCCTGGCCCCCAGTGGAGGATACGGTCGTTGCCCTTAAACAGCGTCTTCCCAGTGATCATCTCGGCCATAATGCAGCCCACGGACCAGATATCCACTGAAACAGAGCCCACCCTTGTCAGACCTCCAGAGGACACTAAGGGACACCCCTCACCTCCACCATCCCACCGGCAGCCCCTCCCAGGACCCCGCCCCTTACCTGTCTGAGTGTAGCGCATCCAATTCAGGATGACTTCCGGTGCTCTGTACCACCGTGTCACCACGTACCCCGTCATCTCACTGTCCGCCTGCCTGGCCAGGCCAAAGTCCAGGATCTGCAGGAGGAATCTGGGAAATGGATCCCCAAGAATCCCAGAATAGGGGTGGGGTGGCAGGCTTGGGGTTCTGCCTGGCTGATGGTGGTGATCCCAGGTGGCACTGGGAATGGAGCCTCCATACCGGGGTCTCCTGCCCCACCTTCAGGTCCTAAAGGACTCCTGGCCACTCTCCACCCCCTGGGGTCTAGAACTTTTCCCACGCCTCCCTGGTTCTACCCAGGCTGGCCAAGGAGAACTGGGCTGCGTCCTGACCCTGCACTTAAGAAGCAACCTGGCATCACCCCCAGTGCCTCCCTTCCTGATGCTGGCCCTGCTGCTCCTCCAGGGCCCATCTATTGCTCCACTGCTGCCCTAGGGAGGCCCCATACCAAGGACCTTGTCCCCTATCCCTGCAGCCTCCCTCACCTCCCCGCCTTGCCCCACCCCACCTTACCTTCAGTTCACAGTCCTCATTCACTGCCAGGTTGCCTGGCTTCAGGTCCTGCAGGTATACAAAAAGTGACCACAGTGGCTGGGTGGGGTGGGCATGGGTGGCATGGGCAAAGCCACTGAGGGCCTGGGACACCATCTCTAGACAGGACAAGTAGCCCCAGCCTTCTGCAGGCCTTCAGAAGGGCATGCATCTGGGAAGGGGAGCTCAGGACAGGGCTCTCCACACACACTCCCCCAGCACTCACCCTGTGGATGACACCAGCCGCATGGATGTACTGTGGGAATAACAGAAGGGTCAGGGCTACAGCAATCAGCAGCTAATCCCCCCCTCCCCCCGAAACATCCTGTCCCACACTGCTGCACAGCCCACCCACCATTCTCCCCAAGGCTACCAGGCCCACCTGAGGCCTTGAGCATCTGCCCCATCAGGAAGCAGGTGTCCCTGATTCTACTACGCCCCACACACACCCGCCATCCCAGGCTCACCTTGAGCCCTTTGAGCATCTGGTAGACCAGGAACTGGATGCGGTCCTCGGTCAGCTTTTCATGTTTCATGAGTTTGCCCAGGTCTGTCCCCATGAAGGGCATCACCAGGTAACTGTGGATGGCGGACCGGGGCATTTTAGCAGTGGCCTTGCCAGCACCCTGCCCCACCCCCCTACCCCCACTGACTCACAAACCTACACCCCTCCCTGCCCAGATTGTCAGGGTTCTGACCACATTTTCAGGTAGGGTGGCCCAAAGGCAGGCTGAGGTACCAAGAGGGCACAGGTGGGAAAGGCCAAGGTCAGGCTTTGGGAGGGGGCCTGGGAGAGGGGTGTCAGGTGGGATGGGGACACACAGGACATTCGGGTATGGGGACAGGCTGGCTGGGTGGAGAGAGACACACGGAGAGGCATTTGGGCACTCTTCCAAGAGGACACACAGGCCCTGGGTGTCCTTGACCTCTATAAGGCCATGCAGTGAGGAGCCCGCTGCCCCTCCAGCCTTCCCTGGCCAGGCAGCTGGCATATGGCCGAAGTGGAGTAAGTCTTGAGGGTGGAGGGTGGGTAGTGTTGGTGGTGAGACTTCAGGGCTGGCTTCATCTGGGGGGGCTAGAGACAGTGTGCCCCCCCTGTCATCAACCAGTCCTCCAGCAAAGGTCAGCAGTTCCAGTTACAGGCCACACACTGGTGCCAGGATCCTGGGCACAGGCCCTGCCTGCTCTCAGACCTTGGAACCAAGCTCCTACCTAAGGTGCTGGGGAGGGCCCACCTGGGGGCCAGGAGCCCCAATTTGCCTCAACCGGACTCTGCCAGCATCTGTGGTCCCCAGGCACGTGGGACGGGGGCTAGAGGAGAAGGTTGTGGAGCAGGAGGTAGGCATTGTGCAGCTCCACCCATCAGGGCTATAGGACCCAAAGACTGTCCGGAGCCACCCTGAGCCTAGCCCGCCGGCCACTCACAAGTCTGTGAACTCGTCCAGAGTCTCGTCAGGAGTGAACACATCCAGGAGTCCGATCACCTGGGGGCCGAGGGTTGTGGGCTTGGGCTGGGCACCCTGAAGGCTCTGGCACCCAGGCCCCCCACATGGGCTATTTTGGGATGGTGACAGCCAGCCAGGATCCTTGTGGGGAGAGGCGGCTCCATGTCTGGTTGGCTCAGCTGCCTGCAGGGCTCCAGCCTGGAGACCCCGGGGGAGCAGGGGACCCAGCAGATGTTCCCCAGCATGGGTGTGCTGAGAGCAGTCCAAGGCCCATCAGGGAGGGCTCTACTGCCTGAGCTCAGGATACTGAGCGACAGCTACATAAGCAGTGGGGAGCCAGCAGGGCAGGAGTGGGCAGCCAGGCAGAGAGAGAGAACTTCAAGTGGCAGAGGCCCGAAAGTGGCTGGACCCACGCAGAGGGAGTCAGGACTGGGCTGGAAGTCCAGATGAGAGTATGCCGGAGGTAGTGTGAAACGTGGGGACAGGAGGGTGGTGGACAACGGAGCGATTGCTTCAGTCACTAGGCTCAGAGCTGGACTGGTGAGTAGTTGGGGCCTGGGGCTTGGGAGGAGGGGGAGGTCAAGCAGAACTAGGCTGCTGAGGGGCCCTGGGAAGAGGAGGAAGGCAGAGCCCTGAGAGAAGGGCCACCAGAGAGGGCCTGGGGACAGACGGAAGCCTCAGGTGCTGAGGCTTGGGGACAACAGTGGACAGTGTCCCAAGGAAGAGGGTAGGGGGACAAAGCCCCAGGGGTGGGGGCTTTCAGAGTGGGCAGAGAACTGCTGTGCCTCTGTTGATTGACTGTGGCAGGAGGTGACTCCGGGTTTAAGGGGAGGGGACCTTAAGGGGGCCAGCACCCATTTTCCACTGCATCTTAAAGTTGCTACAGAAGGGCTGGGTGACATGGTGGCTGGCCAGCAGCAGGCGCTGTCCTTGGCCAGGCAGGGATGATGCCCAAGAAGGGTGCGAGGCAGGTCACAGGACCAAAGGTCCCCCCAGGTAAGGAAGGGGCTGCAGGGAGTGGAGAGAGCTGGCTGAAGGGCAGGCTGGGCTGGAGGGCTGTCTGAGGGAGTGGAGAGAGCTGGGAGCCAGGGCCGGGCATGGAGGGCTGTCTGAGGGAGTGGAGAGAGCTGGGAGCCAGGGCCGGGCATGGAGGGCTGTCAGAGAGAAGACGGTGGGCAGCAGCTAGGAGCCAGGGGACAAGGAGGGGTGGCCAGAGCATCAGTCAGTAGCATCGAGTGACCCAGGTGGAAGGGGACGGAGTCCGTCCTCGTGGGGAGCGCCATGACAGAGAAGAGCTTTGGCCAGTGGTCAGCCCCAGTGGGGTCCTGGGACAGGACTTTCTTTCCCTGGCTGATCCCAGCTCCCCTCAGATGGCCAAGGCAGGAAGGACAGTCCTTTGTGTGCCCTTAACACCCTTCGCCCACCCAGGCCCCAAGGGGCCATCTCTACCCCGAGGGGGGAGCCCAGAGATAATTAGCTCAAGAGATAGGCAAGGCTCAGTTGGGGGGTGGGGGTGTGTGTCAGAAAATCACCTTCCGAGGAAGGTGGCTCTTCCCACCTGCAGTCCCCTCCCCGTTCCAGGCTCAGGGCTGGGGACTGAGCCCCAGGGGCTGGCCAACCTGGGCCTGGGGGCCAAAGGCCAGGAGCGGAGTTCTCCGCCGGGCCGGCTGGACAGAGGCTGGATGGCGGGACTGGGAGGCTGCCCTGCCCCGCCCCGCCCAGCCCCTCGGCGCCCCCGGCCCAGCCGTTCCGCCTCGCACGCTCACGTTCTCGTGCTGCATGTGTTTGAGGAGGCGCAGCTCGCGGTAGGCGCGCTTGGCGTAGAGCTCCGATTGGAAGGGCCGATACAGCTTCTTGATGGCGACCCTGGCGCCCGTGCGGCTGTCCTCCGCTGAGCTGAGGGGCGGAGCGGGCCGCTCAACGCGAGCCGGGCAACCCTGCG